TCAGTGGCCTATATGAAAGAAATTGGATTGTACAAGTCCAAATCTTACTGCATACTGGCATTTTTTGGCAGCCTTAACAGAACACCAAGGGTTAAACGGAGCTGAAGACTGAACTAGAATTTCATTCCTATACCTGATAGAAATGTAGCCGTGTTAGTCTGGGGTAGTTGAAGCAAAATGCAGGACAATGTAGCACTTTAAAGACTATGTGATTTGTCCTTTTCATATTTGTTCCTTTTTTTTAATTGTATCCTTTGGTATATATGGTTGTGACTACTTTCTTCCACTATTTGATCTGAGGAAGTGGGTCTGGCCCACGAAAGCTCATCATCTAATAAACCATCTTGTTATTCCTATACCTGCGGTCCCCAGTTCTTAGTACTGAGATACATTGGCATGCTTGCATAGTGAAACTGTCGCTGCAAATAGCTGACCTATTTAAAATGCTTGCATTTTCTTAGCTCCAATTTTTTTTTTCAGCAAATTTTTATTTGTTTTTCCTAATTGGCCTCTGGTTGGTTGGTTGCTTGGCTGAAAAGACAGCTGGTTAAAGTTAGCACAAGATGAAATTCTGTTCCTACCAACTACATGGAAAATTCCCAACCATACTACTGAACAAAGATTTTGCATATCTTGGATCTTCCAAAACACTTAGTTTTGCTTTTTCAGAAGGATAGACTACTTACATCTCTCTCTCTCTCTCTGACAAGGATGAATATTTGGCCTAATAAGAAATAAGCTTTTAGAATGCTGAAGTGGGTAACTGTTCTCAGCTACCACTTCAATAGAGTGTAATCTTTTTGAAGTAAGAGTTGAGAGAAATTGTTCAAAGAAAATTAAGATGTAACTCTTGAGCTTCGGTCTGTCTTCCTGTAGCTTGAAACATTTAAATGTATTTGATTTTTTTTTCCTCTTAATTTCAGTGTGCCTGCTGTAGCAGAGTGGGCTGTTCCTCAGTCATCAAGACTGAAATACAGACAACTGTTCAATAGCCATGACAAAACAATGAGTGGACACTTAACAGGTATTAGAACAATTTTATGCTATTATTTTAGATTCTTTTTTGCTTCCATTTGATCTTTGACAATTATGTCTATTAATGTGGTGCTAAAATGCTTATTTTCTTATTCTTATTGTTCCATTTTCCCTTTGATTACAACAGAGAGCAAACAGGGGTATGTCTACACTACAAAGTTAATTCGAACTAACGGATGTTAGTTCAAATTAACTTTGATAGGCGCTACACTAGCGCTCCGCTAGTTCGAACTTAATTCGAACTAGCGGAGCGCTTAGTTCGAACTAGGTAAACCTCATTGTACGAGGACTAAGCCTAGTTCGAACTTACTAGTTCGAATTAAGGGCTGTGTAGCCCCTTAATTCGAACTAGTGGGAGGCTAGCCCTCCCCAGCTTTCCCTGGTGGCCACTCTGGCCAACACCAGGGAAACTCTATTGCTCCCCTCCCAGTCCCGGACCCCTTAAAGGGGCACGGGCTGGCTACGGTGCCCGTGCCAGGTGCAAGCCTGCCAGCACCCAGCTAGCAGA